CAATGTAATTCTGCAGCCAATATGGGATTGTACCTTATGCCGAATTCGGGTGGTCAATCGCCGGCGAGCTCACGCCGGCGGCACAGGCAACGAAAACCGCGCCAGCGGCGCACCACGTGACCCTCTCCACCCGAACACAAAGCGCCTGCAACTGGCGTTTTCATCTGCCTGGGTCGCGCGTGAACTTCGTTAACTTCTTCCACGATTATTTTATGATACAATAGTTACGCTCTAGGCATCAGCAACATATATTCGGACTCTGAGATGTGGGTAAACAAATTGTAATATATTTTGTTTAGATTCTCGAGGAACTGTTGCCATCTTACAAGGATCCTAGAAGGCTCACCAGCGTCGCCATTTTATATTCCATTTTCTTGTTATTACCTTTTTGCTGGAATCCTCAGCATTTTGATTTGACCCAGCCCTCTAAAATAGTAATGCGCGTTCAAGTGTCGAGCTGCAGCACTATCAATACATTTTTTACAGCGGTGTAATAACACGCTGTGTCCCATAGGAAACTGATCTTGCGGAAGCTTCCTTTAAAATATTTTATCTTTATCTCCGTTGTTTTTGCTGTCTTTCTCGGACCACAGAGGGGTGTCTGTCTCAATGGCTTCGTTTTCTACTCGAATCCGCTATTGGCGACCATTGTTTCGTTTGGTTCCCTTTCCCGATTCGGATATGACGATACCGGATACAGTCTGGCAGACAAGCTGCCCGACCTCTTGGAGCTCGGGCAAATATTGTGCCGGTAAATTGCCAGCACACGCCTGAGAAGTGCCACCCGAACGGCGCGCACTCGCCAGCCTTTGACCACGCGAACGCCCTTGGCGGAGATATGGCAAAATATTTTGCCGGGAAATGACCACACGAATTCGCCATTAATGCGCTTTACGTTTGCTTTCGGGTGGCGTGCTCCACGTTGCGCGCGCGCATCGTTGCCATGCTGCGATCCAAGACGCGCACGCGCAGAGTGGAAAACGCAAAACTAACGCAAACACGCGCTCTGGCGTTCGCTCGTATATGCAATGCTAAAGCTCGCTACTGTTTCACCGGCTTCCAACGCCAACGAAACGTGCTGCAGTGAGCAGAAGTGCAAGCAGGTAGGCAAATACGAAACTAAATAAATGTTAAGAATAAAGAAATACGCCAACCAAAAAGTCGAAAAATTGTCCCAACGTTTCGAAACAGTTCGTTTCTTCCTCAGGGGCGACTAAACGGGATAATAGCTTCTTTGTCTTTCTTTGAACTGGCTATCTCTTCTTCTTCATTGTCGATTGCTGGTTGTCTTCAGTTCGCCTGCGTCGTCTTGATTGTATCTCGTAACCCATGAACATATAAACTGGGTAAATAAATGTTTAAAAAATAATTTAAAAAATATTTATTTTTTTTTTCCAGGGGGGGGGGGGGGGGGGGGGGGGGAAGGATTTGGTGTGGAAGGAGGCTCTATCCCTATTTGCACTCCAAGTGCGAATAGTGGTGGATTCTAATCCGCACTCCGAGTGCGAATAATTTTGGATTCTTATCCGCACTCCGAGTGCGGATTGTGTTGGATTCTTATCCGCATTCCAAGTGCATGCGGCGGAGAACTTGGCGTGTGGCGCGACTTGGACGCGGGAAAGTTTGAACATAGTGACTTACGATGTTGGTGGTGTGACATGGCATGTTAGCAGCATCGATTCCATAGAAATATTGGTGTTTGTGCGG